TTCGCGGATATTTATTTACGGGTAGTGCATGACAGAAGTATGCGAAGCGGAACGGAATTGGCGCGTTGTCGTGTTGCTGTTTCTATTTTCTTCAATAAATGAAGAAATTTCCTGGTCGTCTAGCTGTTTTTCTTCGTTCGATTCATCTAGTAAACTTGGATATGTATTTGCCAGCCATTCCGACTCTTTTTCGTCAGAAATGTGATTTAAATTGCCCGCCATTATTTTTTCCTAACTTCAGTCCAATTCTTCGCTTGTGCAATACGAGAAAGCCTGTCTAACCGGTTCTTTGGAGTACAAAATATCGTGTGATATTTGTACTCGTCTATAGCGTTCTTTGTACTCTACGGAGTGTAGTTGGGTGATCAAAGATGTTAAAGCGATTTTACTTTGCTTAGCGAGCACTGTGGTAGTGAAAAGGTCTAGGCCTGGCTGGGGGAAGGGTGATTGCACTGATGTTTCTTACTCTTGCCTTCATAAAATTGAGTTAAGCTAAGTTCTCAGAACAACGAAACACACAATTTTATAATTTAAAGAACGTGTTTTTCTTGATTGTTATTCCTCGCCATGATTTGTTGCGCGACCGTTCAAGCATTACTTGAAAGTTTCACAATTCGGCTGATTATGACCATGAGATGTTATTACAAGTAAATAATTTCATTTAGTTTTAGTTTTGGTCAATGAACAATCCAGGATCCAGGACTAGCTGTTTCTGGTTTTTGTCCGTTGTGAGAAGAAGCCAAAATCGTTCAAAGAACTTTTGTAGGCCTGATAATTGATCAGACCGGATCATAACAGTCAGAATAATTGTTATAATCGTTATGTCGCTATCGGAACCAAGTCTTGAAACAAGATACTAGCAGCTACTGGGGATTTGTTGATATGCTCAGATTCAGTTGTTGTGTGTTTTCTTAACCCATTAGTGGATTAATCAAATAGCTTCATTTTCTTTCTTTAACTTGCAGAAATTGATATGTGTTTTGTTTTGACGCTGGGAAAAGATACGTCAGAAAAAGATACGTCAGAAAAAGAGTTTAATCTGATCAATGGGACCATGAGCCACATCGTTAAAAAATACGGCGTCCGCCCTGCCAACTACTGCGTGGTTTTACATGAAGAAAACCAACTGATTGGTAACATCATATTTGGAAAGAAGTGGTCTAGTGAGGACGAGCTTTTAAATAAGATTAAGGCATTAAAGCAGCCAAGCTCTCCTAGCTCACTCTGTGAAGATCTCGAAGCCGCTTGTACTGCATTCAAAAGCCAAAACGTTCGAAAAGAAGCTAAAAAGGTGAGGTATATGTTTGCGTGACCGATTTCCGCTGCTCTGTTGAAGGTTAGTCAACTCATCCCTCGTCGAGAAGGGAGTGTTAGCTCATCTTCCAACCTTTGGGCTGGTTTATGGGGCCTTGGTAATCATACTTGCCATTCTTAATTCTGTTACAGTTCTATCACTTGTAATGCAGGAATTTGAAAACCTCTTATAGCGTGCTCACTAGGAGCGATTCAGTTTTGCGCACTATCAATGAATTTAATTTGTGTTGTACTACGTGACAGTTTTATGATTGCTATTCAACGGAGAGAACGGTTGAGAAAAAGCAAGTTTTACTTTTCCTTTGGGCATAAGTGTTTCCTTCTCAAGAAAATACGACTTAATGTCTCCCGCGGGGAAAAAAACATGACGTATGTGGTAGAATTTTGAAATACCCTTAAGCAAATATTTTCTCAGTTCTTTAAAACCAGGTGAATAAAGGCTGATAGATTCTAAAGAAACTGTTTGGGGCTGCGTCGGTGGGGGTAACGAAATAATTTGAATATATCAACAAAGTTGAAATGGTAAATTGACCACCGTTACGGTTATAAAAGCTGACGTTTCTAGCGTTAGCCCTTCGTCGGAGCGAATAGAGGAATTGTGAGTTGTGTGTGCTTTTAAAGGCAGAAAGTGGAGCTACATTATTGGTGGGAACATGGCAACGAGAACAACTCGAGTAAATTAGTGGAATGAAAAGCATTCGTTGATACCTGTGGGACTTAGACTACCG